GGGAGACAAGGGAGTTAGGAAAATATAGGTGAAAATAACTATTTTCCCCCCAAAACCAGTTCTACCATTTCCCCAATTGATTAATATACACAAGCCCCAATATCATAGGTAGTCATAGAACTCTTCTCTTGGATGTAATGTATAATTTGCATTTTGCTCCTAGAAGAAAAAGTCAGCTATCATTTTAGTATAATGAAATTAAATTCAAAAGAGACTCTCCTTTTTAAAGCAATCGTGTTATGGTTCCATCAAAATGTCAAATGTATGGATACAAGTAAAAACAAGCTGAAACATTTCCCATTGATTTATAGTGGGTTCAGAATCTGTCATTTGCAGCAACTATGTAGTAAGGATTTTTATGGCAAAGATATAAACCTCTGGAAACAGAAGTTTATGATGAAGAGGTTGAAGAAACCTGAATGATGTGACTGATAATGTGAGTAAGAGGAGGTGGTGACCTGAAAAAGTAAATTCAGAGCCCCCTTATCTATAGGGCCTTGACTTAGAGGGGACCCCAAATTGCAAAAAGAGCAGATCAGGGCACGAGACTTTACCCCTGCAATCCCACTGCCAGGGGAGGAGATTGGACAAGTCAGTGAGTTGCTGTCTCTCTGTGGTCCCAGAGTGCTAGAGGGGCAGATAATGTTGACCCAAGTTGCAGAGCCCCCATGAGACCAAATCTCTGTAGAAGACTGAGGAAGTCTGATAGACCCAGGAATATAATCAAGCGGGATAATCCCGCTTCTACATATTTTGCCAAATGAGCATTATAATCTCCACACAGCCTGATAGAAACCAGATGTAATCTGAATCAGTGTATATGGGAATAGTGTTATTTTCATCAGTAAGGGAACATTGCAGTTTGTGAATGGCAAAGAGGAAAAAAAAAAAAAAAAAAACCAAACTGTGCCCGGGCAAAGATTTCATAAACCTGTTCAGATCACTGTCTGGGTGTGCAAATAATGGCTCCAGGGTTATTTTGCACTGGTATGTTACACATGTAGTACTTTTAAGATCTCTTATAGAGATTATTAAGCTAAAATCATAGGTGTCACTAATGTGTTTACATCTCCACCCAAAAAAACTCAAAACCCATTCAAATGTGTATATATATAAAAATAGGTAAGTATATATTCCACATTACAGTCACCAGTTTTTATTACTATTTTATAAAAGGAGATTTTGTATAATGCAAAGAGGAAAAAAATATTAATTTATTGCAACAATTAAGGTCCAATTTTTGACTATCAGACTAATAAGGATTGCTCAAATCCCACATTTGAGCATTCAAAGCAGCATGCAGGTTAAAGGTTGATCTGAATGCCCCAAAGACAGATTCTGGTGTCCTACAGTACTTGGGCGGCTGTCATAAGGTTCACTCACCACTTCCTCCTCCTGTCCCCTCTGGGGATTAGCTCCTTCCTGGTCTGGGGCCCCATTCTGCTGCACTCCCTGCCGCCACAGGCTCTCTCTGTCTCAAACTCCAGGTGCTCCTTCTTCATGACTTAGCCCTCCAGCCAGGTCAATGCGTTTCCCCCTTCTAGGGTATCAGTCTTTCAGGGGAAACTGTCCCAGGCAGTTTGCTCTCCAGTGCTTGGTCTGTGCCACTTCTCCCAATGTCTGGTAGAGGAAGACAGGCACATCCTCTACTCCAGGTTCTAACTCAGGGGCCCTCTCATCAACAGCCAAGTTCTATCATATACCTTGCTGCCTTTCCCCTGAGCCTTTCCTACCTGTCTGGCTCCCCCCTCCTCTCTGGGTTTGCCAGTCCCACAACTCCCTCCTCCCAGGTGGGAGCTGTAGGCCACTTGCCTCTGTAGCCCCAAACACACCTCCCCTCTCCTAGGAAGTCACTGCAGACTGCTCCCCTACAACCCCTTGCTACTCTCAGAGTCTGGGCTTTACACAGACCTCTCCTGTTCCTGTCCAGCTGAACCTCATCTCTAATTAATCCCTGCTCCCTGGATCCTCCTCCAGGTGCAGCCTGGGCAGTTAATTGGCCTCCCTAGCCACTTTAACCTCTTCAGGTCTTGTGTGGGGTGTCTCAAAATTGGCTTCTGCATAGGGGTACTACATTTCTATATTTGCTTTTGTTAGACTTTTTTAAACCTGTACCTGCATTGTCCAGGTTTTTAGCATCGCTTTGCATGATACAAGCCTGCCTGCAAGCGCTTTTCATACTAGGTAAAATGCTGGCTGTCACCTGTGATGTGGTCCTTGAGTTCCTCTATTTAATATTTACTATGACACCTCTACAAATGGCACATAGCCAGCCACCTGTGATCTTGCCATTCCAGCATAATTGTTCAACTAATGTACTTTAATATATCTGGATCACAGGGAATTTTCCACAGATGCTGATAATGCCAGACTCATGATCACATGCATACCCCACTTGTGCATTCACAGATGAGATTGCCTTCTGTTATTATAAGCTTATCAGATCAGGAATGCAGCTGTAACAACTATATTGTTGCAGCAGTCAATAGATCACCATACTATTGGAAAACTAATTCAACAGAACTAGTTTATTTTAGCTTCCCTGGAAGGACAGGGAATTAGCTGCAGTGTCAGGACTTAATTATTCCCTCAAAGCTTTTCCCCCCCAAATTGAAGGGTCTTTCAAGCCACTGGCTAAGACTAGATCCCTTTTTATTTTTTTAATGAAGCTTTTAACTGAAGTCTTATCAATACATTACATACCAAACAGTGTTTATAAACATACATTAGAAGAATCATGACCATGCACACTGACCTATGATGTCCCCTTCTTTTTTTCTTTTTAACATATCTGCTCCATAACTGTTAGAGGGACCTAAAATCAAATTACAGGGAGAAGCTTCAGAGCCAAAACCCAAATAAGTTACATTGTGGTTGATGCCTCTAGTCTTGCAACATAGTCCCTACAGACATTTCAAAAGCAAAATCTCTGTGCAAAGAGAATGTTAGCCTTTACTGAATGAAAAAAAAATCATTCAAAAATTCCTCCAAAATTTCTACTTCTCCACAAAGGTGTAAACAGAAAAATTTGGCCCTTTTATCACAATCCATATGGCCTGAAAGTACAAATGGATTCCATGAAACAAAACATTTGTGCTATTTAGAAGTGCATGACTTTTGACATGCCCACATATGTACACCAGCACCACCATCACAGGACCTAACCAGATCAGCTACAACATCACGGGCTCATTCACCTGCACGTCCACCAATGTTATATATGCCATCATATGCCAGCAATGCCCCTCTGCTATGTACATTGACCAAACTGGACAGTCACTACGCAAGAGGATAAATGGACATAAGTCAGATATCAGGAATGGCAATATACAAAAACCTGTAGGAGAACACTTCAACCTCCCTGGCCACACAATAGCAGATGTAAAGGTAGTCATCTTACAGCAAAAAAACTTCAGGACCAGACTCCAAAGAGAAACCGCTGAGCTCCAATTCATTTGCAAATTTGGCACCATCAGATCAGGATTAAACAAAGACTGTGAATGGCTATCCAACTACAGAAGCAGTTTCTCCTCCCTTGGTGTTCACACCTCAACTGCTAGCAGAGCACCTCACTCTCCCTGATTGAACTAACCTCGTTATCTCCATACTGATTTATACCTGCCTCTGGAGATTTCCATTACTTGCATCTGAAGAAGTGAGGTTCTTACCCACGAAAGCTTATGCTCCCAATACTTCTGTTAGTCTTAAAGGTGCCACAGGACACTCTGTTGCTTTTTACAGATTCAGACTAACACTGCTACCCCTCTGATACTTCAGGAATGATTAGACAGGAAGGAAAAAACCTCTTTCACCCCATATGCTAAATCAGGGAAATCACCTCATTAGTAATACGCCCCATGTACATATAATTCATCTCACTCCAGTATCCCTTTAAAAGAACAGTGAAAATTAACAGTAGTCTCTATACTGAATGGATATGGATGGGTGATTTTTCTGTGGGGTGTCTGTGTTTTGGGCATATGGGGGATTTTGCAGAGGTGTCAGCTCCCTCCCAGAGCCTGCACCCCACAACCCCTACAGCACCCCTGCCCCAGCCCAGAGCCCCATCCTGCATCCCAAACTCCCTTCTGGAGCTTGCACCCCAACCCCCTGCCCCAGCCCTGAGCCGCTTCCCACACCCGAATCCCCTCATCCCTGGCTCCACCCTGGAGTCCACACTTTCAGCCTGTACCCGCTGCCACACCCTCACTCCCTGCCCCAGCTCGGAGCCCCCTCCCATACTCCAAATCCCTTGGCTCCATCTCCCAGCTCGGAGCCCCCTCCTGCACCCTCTGCCTCAGGCCAGCGAAAATGAGCAAGTGAGAGTGAGTGGGGTAGAGTGAGTGAGGGAAGATGCAAGATGGAAGGAGGGGGGGGTGGAGGGAACGGAGACCAGGTGGGACAAGGATGTTCAGTTTTTTGTAATTAGAAAGTTGCAACGCTGACTGGGGAAAGTCAGTGGGGGTCTGTGGTGGGCGGTCAGTGTTTGGCAGTGGGTGTGCGCATAGTAGCAGGGATCAGTGACACACTACCCGATGTCAACAGCCCAGACCCCAGGTCCGGAGGGGACTGTGGTTGCTGAGCCCGCCCTCAAGGTTGTGTCCCCCGCTGGCCAGTATAGCAAGGTGCTGCCACCAGGGGGCCCTGGAGCCCGGGATGAGCTCAGAGAGCGGACTCGAAACTCCACCGACTGCGGCTGGCGGCCCCACGCTCATGGGAGCCAATGAAGCTCGGCTTTGTTTTGAGAGAGGTCAGCCTCTGAGCCAATCGGCTGGGGTTTTGTAGCGCGGCTGCCAGGCCGTGACCCTGGTGTCATGGCCGCCTGCACGGGGTGCCAGGCTTGCTGCCGCGCTGGGCTTAGGGAGCTGGCAGCGGCCGGCAGTTTCCGCCCGCTGCCCGGCAACATGAGGCGTTGGTTGGAGCCGGCCGCTCGGCTGGTGCAGCTGGCCCAGACCCGAGGCTTGCAGGGTGGCGCCGGGGCCTATAAGGCGGCGTCAGTGGACGTGGGGAGCAGGTAACGAGGGGGCCGCCGGGAGAAAGAAGCGTCCGCCCGGGGGGGGACTCAGTCCCCCCTCCCTCCACCGGATCGGGGAACGTCTCCCGTCTCCTTTCTCCCTGTATCCCGGGGCTTGTGCCTGGTCCCCGTGCCTACCACGTCTTCCTGCTGCCCCAGAGCCCTCTGCTCCCTCCCAGAGTAGCTCCCCTTGCTGCGCTGCGGCCTCCCATCCCGACCCCCCAGCCCCTTCTCAGAACAGCCCTTCTCACTGCCCTGTGTCTTCCGCCGTCCCTCAGAAAATTCTTCCTCGCTGCCCTGCGCGCCCCGCCCCCTGTCCTCTTCCAGAATATCTCCCCTTCACTGCCCTGCCCCCTCCCAGAGCAATTTCTCCTGCAGGTGTTCTCCCCTCAACATTTCTTCCTCTCCCACCCCCCACCATGGTTTGTTACTTTCTTCTTCCACTGACCCCAGGATCGTTTCCCATCTGAGTATGTCTCCTTGATCTCTGCTCCCCACTGCCCATTCATGTCCAGTATCTGCTGAGAAGTGTGTGTTGGTGGGAGGCAGGGGGTCTGTGTAGCTTTGCTTCAGCCATTCCTTTTCCAATCCACAATCTCCCAATATGTTGCTAGTGGAGCCAGAGCTGGACAATAATTGCTAAACATATTGTTAAAAATCCACTGGCCTCCTTTTCTTGTTATGCCTGGCCTTACTGCATATAGTTGATGCACTGCTTTTCAGTAGCCCTTGCAATACCTTGTCATGGTGATAAAGTGATTTGAAATTAAAATCCTCCCATCACGATGACTAAGGTGGTTTATGTCATGGTGGTATTGGTGCTGAGTTGTGCTGATACGTTTATAAAGTAGAAAAGTATTAATACACAAGCCATTTAAGGTTAAAGTATCTCAGAAATAACCATCCAGATGTGGACTCTTCCTGCATTTTAAGATCTAGTGGCTGCCTCCCTTTCCCCACATTTGATGTTTTTTATTGATAAATTTCATCAGAGGAGCTGTTTGAAAGTTTTAGAAATAATTAGGGGCCTGATCTAAAGTCCATGAAAGTCAGTGGAAAAGCTCTAGTTGACTTCACTGGGTGTTAGATCAGGCCCTAAATCAGCTGAAGTAAATAAGAAAACTGAATGTCATTTGAACTTTTTTTCCACTACTCTCTGACATACATAGCAGCCAAATAATGGGCATAGTCTTGCCTCTAAATGTAAAAGTGTGTGCATCAGATCTTCCACTGCACTTTTTCCATTAAAGTACTATCTACTGTCACTGAGAAAAAGTGTGTGTGTGGTGGGGGGGGTGTAAATGGTGGTACTTTTTGCCTTGCATATATACACCATCTCATTTTGTGTTGATTTTTTAAAAAACATTTAATACATACACCATTGAGAATAATAGCCATTAATAGGACTTAAAACTCTGAAGTGTAGTGGAGACTTGCTGGTTTCCAAAAGAATATAGAGCCTTTCACCTCTAAGTAACTGGTTCAAATCTAGCCAAATTCTGTACTGACAAAGATGTTACTGTCTGGCTCTTACTTTGCAGATATGAAAACTGGGTGCTGATCTGTCTTGTTCCACATGACTTACTACCTGTTGCATATGGCAGTCACAGCAGAGAAGTATGGGATGGAATTAGTTTGAAGATTAAGGGTTTGTCTACACTCCCCTGTAGTTTGGAGGAGGGTAGGGAGAAAGAAGTGCACCCCAAAATGTTGTGCTGTAAGTCCCCTATGTGGGTATGTGGCGTGAACTAAAAGGTTCCTAGTTCGTGTTAATGTAGCCTACTTCAAACAGGATTACATTAATGCAGGCTAGGAACCTCTTAGTTCATGCCCACAGCATTGACACAGGACAGTTACAGCACAGCACTTTGGTGCACATTGCTATTCACACCCCACCCCATTGCCCAAACTACAGGACATTGTAGATGTAGCTTCAATTTTCCTTTCATCTTAGAAGGCGGTCACTTTGGAATTGAGGCAAAATTGCTGAACAGTAGGGAAGCTTGTACTCTTGTTTCCTATTCTGTGGATAGATCTAGGGCTTCAGCATCCAGACTTGTCAACGCCAGTTTCTATCATGAATAGTAAATATAATCAGTATTTTCTAAAAATATGAAACATAAAATATAAATGTATAGTAGTTGAATAGAGAGGTGTTGATAAACTGATCCTCAGTTGTCACTAATGGCAGATATCCTCTTTTTTTTTTTTTAACAGAAAGTTGGAAATTTCCTCAGGAAAACTGGCCAGATTTGCTGATGGATGTGCTGTAGTGCAGGTAAAAAATCTATGCAAACTCAAAATGTGTAAGTCAACTTCGATAAATGTACTGGTTTTTGTTGAGATGTCTCAACCATATATGGTAATTGGACTCCCGACTGGATCCACAGCTAGTTACAGCATAGAAAAAAAAACTTTATAAGGTTTCCAGAAGCCTCACCAGTACACTGTGGATTCATGTGTTTTCTCTTCACTTGGAAAATTCTCTACTGAGAAATGAAACTAAATGATACATTTATGAAAATGTATTTTCTAAAAGTAATTTCACTGTTTTTAAATCAAGTTAGGTGATACATCAGTGATGGTCACAGCAGTCAGTAAAACAAAGCCTTCTCCATCTCAGTTCATGCCATTGGTGGTGAGTACTAATTGTAATTACACAAACTGCCCAAATTGATAACTATAAATAATAGTAGAGAAGCAGAACTTGAGTCCTCGGACATTTCAGTTGTTTTTTAATATAAATTGTTTTGTCTCTGTGGCTACAGCAAATAGAATATTTAGCTATTAAATTCAGATGTATTGTCATCTCTTACCTTTTTTATAGGTATATTTAAGAAAGAGCAGTAATTACAGTTTTGTTTACAAATCCCTGTTTTGTTATATAAGGTTGACTATCGCCAGAAAGCTGCTGCAGCAGGAAGGATTCCCACAAACTATCTTAGAAGAGAACTTGGTTCCACTGATAAAGAAATTCTTACAAGCAGAGTAATAGGTATGACAGAAGACTGAGAAAACAATGTCCAGTACTTTCTTTTTGTTGTTTGTGATATCCTCATTGAAAGATTGAAAAGAGAGGGCTAATATTGCCTCTTCAGCAGTTTTCGGGAGAAGTGCATGCCTTAAAGTGCTGCAAATTTCAGAACCATTTAAAAAAAATGTCCATTGGGGCTGCATACACATTCCCTATATGAAAGCCCAAAATACAGTAAAAGCTGTTTTATCGGCATGTTGTGGGAATGGGGGGTGCCAGTAAGTGGAAAAATGCTGGTTAACTAAGAGGGATGGAGTTTGGGTGTGGGAGGAGGGGTGGGTGTGGGTTCTGGGCGGGAGTTTGGGTGTGGGAAGGGGTTTGGGGCAGGAGGTTGGGGCCCCTGAGTGGACTCAGGGTGGTGGATCCCGGGGGCATTCACCTCCGGCAGCTCTCCGCAAGCGGTGACCTGTCCTGGCTGCTCCTAGGCAGAGGCGCAGCAGATGGGTCTGTGCACTGCCCCCGCCCTGCCCTGAGTGCTGGCTCTGCAGCTCCCCTTGGCTGGAAACTGTGGCCAATGGGAACTGTGGGGGCAATGCCTGCGAGCGGAGGCAGCGTGCAGAGCCACCTCCACCTAGGAGCAGCCGGGTCAAGTAGACACTTGCAGGGACCCACCTGAGGTAAGCGCCCCCCGTATCCGGTACCCCGAGCCCCTCCCATGCCCCAACCCCCTGGCCCAAGCCCCCTCCTGTACCCAAACTCCCTCCCAGAACCTGCACCCAGCCCCCCGGCCCCAACTCCAGCCCTACACCCCCTCCTGCAATCGGAACCCCTCATAGCCATTCCTCCACCTAGGGAGCAGCAGGGACATGTCGCCACTTCTGGGGAGCCTGCAGGTCCCACGCCAACCTGACTATAAACCGGACTTTCTATGAAGCTTAAAAATGCTGGTTTATAGAGCTTTCCAGTTGGTACAGGGCATGATAACACAGCTTTTACTGTATCTAACAGCTTGTGAGATTTCTTCTTTGCTCTTGAAATTGGGATTTCTCGTGCCTCAGCCTAGAGGGACATCATTTCTTGGAGCTAATCATTTGTCAGGAGAGAGGAAAGAAGAGGCAACCAAATTGTTTTCTGGAAAGGTAGGGAAAAAAGGAGGCAGACTGTTTGGCCCAAATGTATCCTCCTCCCACCTGCCTCATTGTTTGAAAAATAGTATCCAAGATGCCCAAAACTTGTCTCTTGAATGAGATAATGGCACCTTGAGGCTCAATGTTTGCTAAAACTAGCAGGACTTAATAGACAATTTGAAGAGGGGATAGGGTTCTGAACAGACTAAGCCGGGGTGGGCAAACTTTTTGGCCCGAGGCCACGTTGGGGAATAGAAATTTTATGGCGGGCCATGAATGCTCACAAAATTGGGGTGGGGGTGCAGGCTCTGGGGTGGGGCTAGGGATGAGGAGTTTGGGGTGTAGGAGGGTGCTCTTGGCTGGGATCGAGGGGTTTGGAGGGCGTGAGGGGGGATAAGGGTTGGGTTTGGGGTGTGGGAAGAGGCTCACGGGTGCAGGCTCCAAGCGGCGCTTACCTCAAGCAGCTCCTGGAAACAGTGGCATGTCCCTTCTTTGGCTACTGCGCAGCCAGGTGCCTCTGCACGCTGCCCCATCTGCAGGCACCACCCCTGCAGATCCCTTTGGAGCATGTAGGAGCTGGACCGGGGCCATGCCACGGCTTCCGGGAGCCGCGGTCCCCGACCCAGCACCCCAGCTGGAACGGGGCTGAGTCGTTGGTGCAGCCCCCGGCTGGAGTGCTGGAGAGGGGCCGAGCTGCATGGTGCAGCTTGTGGGCCGGCTTAAAACGGCTCACGGGCTGGATGCGGCCCGCAGGCCATAGTTTGCCCACTCTGGACTAAGCCCTAGTCAGTGTGCAGAGGTGTATTAATAAATCAGATTGAAAATCAAAATTAAAAAAAAAATGCAACATTTGCTTAACTTCATCATTGAGTTGTGCTGCTTTTCATTACATGTCATCTTATTACAAGCTCTCTGGAGCTAGCACTTTGTTTATGTCTGTATCCGACACATTTATGCTGCTACTAATAAATACTCAACTTTTCAAATCGTGTTCTTTTCAGCAGCAGGAAAAGAACCATGAGAGCATTACTGAGCTCCTTATACTGCCATCCTTTATAAGTCAGTTTGGACATGTGCATGGTTACTGATTTTTAGTGTTTTCAAGGCCCATGGCACTGAAGTTCATGCTCTTAAATAGAAATCCGCAGAGGCAGTTCTAACTGGATAAAAATAGCAATTTTTCATATTGATGTTGTTTTAGTGGCTTGTTTTTCATTATTGTTGCCTGGGTCCTTGATGCAGTTTCTGAAATAAGATTTACTTTATGCTGACCCTAAAGTGGCAGAGCAAGGATATTGTAGGGTTATTTCTTTATAAACAGTTTATTTTTCTTGGTTAGTTTTAAAAAATAAAAAGGTAATCTAGGTGAGACTTCCAAGTATAACAATTTTTAGGCAGGTCAATTTGGTTCTAATCTGAAGTGTTATAATTTAAACCATTGACATGTATTTATTATTTTATATAAGGGGAAGCTTAGCTATGTACAAATTTCAGAGTAGCAGCCGTGTTAATCTGTATCCGCAAAAAGAAGAACAGGAGTACTTATGGCACCTTAGAGACTAACAAATTTATTAGAGCATAAGCTTTCGTGGACTACAGCCCACTTCTTCGGATGAAGTGGGCTGTAGTCCACG